GCTTCTTCTAGTCTACTGTTGATGCTTTCTATTGAGTTCTTTATAGCAGTGATGTCATTTTTTATTTCTCCTTGGTTCTTCTTCATTTCCTCTTTATTCTTACACATATTGTTGAATTTGTCTTCCATTCTTTTCATCCACCTTATGGCATTTCTCTGAATTCTTTCTCTGATAGGTTGCTTGCCTCCACTTTGTTTGCTACCTTTTATGGTGGGGCCTGTTTTTCTTTCATCTGTGGGCTGTTTCTTTGTCTCCCCATGATCTCTCTTCTCCGGGTGTTTGGTTATGTAGTTCTCTCTCTGCTTTCCATGAGGAGGCTCAAGGCTTGTCTTAGTCCACGTATTCGTGCTGCTTGAGATCTGGTGTTCCTGAATTTGTAGCTGGTTCCTGGTGCCATGGTTGCAGGATATCTGTATGTATACGCTTCCAATATCAGCCACTAAAGATGGTGTGGTCTCCACTGCTGAGCTGGTTACTCTGGGAGAGATTTCAGCAGCAGTGGAGGCTGCCCGGTTAGGGGAGCCTGATCCAGCAATCTCCAACAGTCCCCTGGAGTATAGCTATCGCTCACCCACAAATTTACACTCTCGGTACGTCCACACACTCTCCTTTCATTCTCTCACTCTCACACTGTCTTGCAGTCTGCCTTCCCATCAGCAGTCACCTTCTCCTCCTTCAGAAATATTCTTTTTAATAATGAACAAGCTTATGCAAATCAATTCAACAATTCAGTTGAAATTAAACTAATGTAGGAACTTAGATATAAAAAATTCTTTTAAAAAAAATCTCTGTTGTTGAAAGTATTACATAGGTCCTCCTTTTTCCCACATTAACCTCTTCCACCCCTTTCTCATCCTCTCCCCACTCCAGGTCCTCACCACCCCATATACATAAGGTTATCTATATATATGCATTGAAGATTATTGGTTGATCTCTTCCCATCCACCCTCCCCTGCCTTCCCTCTGAGGTTCAACAGTCTGTCCATGCTTCTATGACTCTGTGTCTATTTTTGATCATCAGTTTATCTTGTTCATTAGATTCCACATATAAGTGAGATCAAATGACACTGATCTTTCTAAGACTGGCTTATTTTGCTTAGCATAATGCTCTCCAGGTCCATTCATGCTGTTGCAAATAGTAAGAGTTCTTTCTTTTTTATTGCCATGTAGTATCCCATTAATATATATCATAGTTTTTTATTCACTCATCTGCTTATGAGCTTTTAGGCTGTTTACAACTCATATATTGTAAATTGCACTGCTATGAACATAGGGGTGCATATATTCTTTCTGATGAGTGTTTCATTTTTCTTATGATATATTCCTAGAAGTGGGATCACTGGGTCAAATGGGAGGTCAATTTTTAATTTCTTCATGAAACTATATACTATTTTCCATAGTGGCTACAGTAGTCTGCATTTCCACCAGCAGTGTACTAGTGTTCCCTTTTCTGCGCAATCTCGCCAACACTTGTTGTTGGTTGACTTCTTGAAGATAGCCATTCTGACAGGTGTGAGGTGATATCTCATTTTTATTTTGATTTGCATCTATCAGATGATTAGTGACTTTGAGCATTTTTTCATATGTATCTTGGGTTTCTGTATGTTCACCTTGGAGAAGACCTTCACCCTTTTTTAATTGAATTGTCTATCTTCCTTTTGTTAAGTTGTATGAGTTCCCTGTATATTTTAAATATTAACACCTTATCAGATGTATCATTGGCAAATATGTTCTCCAATGTGGTGGGGTCTCTGGTTATTTTTTATTATTTAAAGTATTACATATGCGTCCTCATTCCCTGATTGACACCCCCCCTGCCACTCCCACAACCCATGACAAGTCCCCACTGGCCCAGTATCTGTGTCCATTGGTTATGCTAATATGCATGCATACAAGTCCTTTGGTTGATCTCTTACTGCCCTCCCTCCCCGCCTGCACTCTGAGGGTGGAAGTTCTGTTCAGTGTTTCTTTGTCTCTGGATCTACTTTTGTTCATCAGTATATGCTGTTCTTTATATCCCACATATGAGTGACATCATTTGATATTTATCTTTCTCTAACTGGCTTATTTCACTTAGCATAATGCTCTCCAGGTCCATCCATGCTGCTGCAAATAGTAAAATTCCCTTCCTTTTAACACCAGCTTAGTATTCCATTGTGTAGATGAACCACAGTTTTTTAATCCACTCGTCTGGTCATGGGCCCTTAGGCTGCTTCCAAATCTTAGCTATTATTAAATTATGCTGCTATGAACATAAGGGTGACTATGTCCTTTCTGATTGGTGTTTCTGGTTTCTTGGGATTTATTCCCAGAAGTGGGATTACTGGGTCGAATGGGAGTTCCATTTTTAATTTTTTGAGGAAACTCCATACTGTTTTCCACAGTGGCTGCACCAGTCTGCATTTGCACCAGCGTGCACGAGGGTTCCTTTTTCTCCACATCGTCACCAGCACTTGTCATTTGTTGATTTGTTCGTGCTAGCCATTCTGACAGGTGTGAGATGGTACCTCATGTCGTTTTGATTCGCATCTCTCAGATAATTTGTGACTTTGAGCTTTTTTTCATATTTATCTTGGCCTTATGTATGTCCTCTTTCTAAAAATGTCTGTTTAGGTACTTTGGCCATTTTTTGATTGGATTGTTTATCTTCCTTTTGTTAAATTGTATAAGTTCTCTATAAATTTTGAAATTAAAACCTTATCTGAAGTAGAATTGGCAAATATGTTCTTGTTGTTTTGTTGATGGTTTCATTTGCTGGGCAAAAGCTTTTTATTTTGATGTAGTCCCATTTGCTTATGTTCTCCTTAGTTTCCATTGCCCTAGGAGCTGTATCGGTAAAGATATTGCTATGACATATGTCTGATATTTTGCTGCCTATGGGGTTTTCTAAGATTTTGATGGTTTCCTGCCTTACGTTTAAGTCCTTTATCCATTTTGAGTTTATATTTGTATACGGTGTAAGTTGGTGATCTAGTTTCATTTTTTTGCATGTATCTGTCCAATTTTCCCAGCACCATTTATTGAAGAGGCTGTCTTGACTCCATTGTATGCTCTTGCCTCCTTTGTCATATACAAATTGAGCATAATGGCTTGGGGTTAATTTATGCGTTCTCTGTTCTGTTCCATTGATCTATATGTCTGTTCTTGTGACAGTACCATGCAGTTTTGAGAACCATGGCTTTCTAATATAGCTTGATATCTGCTATTGTGATCCCTCCAACTTTGTTCTTCTTTCTCAGGATTGTTGTGGCTATTTGGGGTCTTTTTCTTTTTATTCCATATGAAAGAAATTATTCTTAAAGTATCATTTTAGATACTTTGTTCTAGGTCTGTGAAATATGCCATTGGTATTTTGGTGGGGATTGCATTGAATCTATAATTGCTTTGGGTAGTATGGACATTTTAATGATGTTGATTCTACCAATCCATAAAAACGGTATGTTCTTCCATATGATTATGTCTTTCTCTATCTCTTTTTTCAATGTCCTGAAGTTTTCTGAGTACAGGTCTTTTACCTCCTTTGGTAAGTTTATTTATATATATCTTAATTTTTTTGTTACAATGGTAAATGGGATTGTTTTGTAAGTTTCGCTTTCTGTGAGTTCATTATTGGTGTATTAAAAAGCCATAGATTTCTGGGTGTTAATTTTGTATCCTGCTACAATGCCAAATTTATTTATTAAGTCTACTAGGTTTTTTATGGAATTTTTGGAGTTTTATCTGTACCGTATCATGTCACCTGCAAATAATGACAGTTTAGCTTCTTCTTTTCCAATTTGGATGCCTTTTATTTCTTCTTCTTGCCTAATCGCTATGGCTAGCACTTCCAGTACTATGTCAAGCAGGAGTGGTGAAAGTGGGCATCCCTGTAATGTTCCTGTTCTTATGAGAAATAGTTTTAGTTTTTACCCATTGAGCATGATGTTGGCTGTAGGTTTGTCACATAAGGATTTTATTATGTTGAGGTATGATCTCTCTATTCCCACTTTGCTGAGATTTTACCAGGAAAGTGTGTTGGATTTTGTCAAATGATTTTTCTGCATCCATTGATATGATTATGTGATTTTTGTCTCTCAGTTTGTGTATGTGATGTGTGGATATACTGATATTGTACCATCCTACCATCCCCAAAATAAATCCCATTTGGTCATGGTGTATGGTCTTTCTAATGTAATGCTGGATCTAATTTGCTAGAATTTTGTTGAGGATTTTAGCATCTGTGTTCATCAGTGATATTGGCCTGTAGTTCTCTTTCTTTGTAGTGTCTTTATCTGGTTTTGGAATTAGGGTAATTCTGGCTTCATAGAAAGAGCTTGGAAGTGTGTGTTCCTTTTGAATTTTGTGGAATAGTCTGAGGAGGATAGGTTTTAGTTCTTCTTTGAATGCTTGGTAGAACTCCCCTGTAAAGCCTTCTGAACCAGGAATTTTGTTTGCTGGAAGATTTGTCATTACTGCTTCAATTTCATAAGTAGTTATTAGCCTATTCAGGTTTTTTTATTCTTCCTTATTGAGTTTTGGTAGCTTACATTTTTCTAAGAATATATCCATATCTTCTAGATTGTCCAATTTGTTGGAGTAGAGTTGTTTGTAGTATTTTTTTGTTTTGCAATCCTTTGTATTTCTCTGGGGTCCATTGTAACTTTAACTCTTTCGTTTGTAATTTTGTTCATTTGGGTACTCTCTCTTTGCTTCTTGGTGAGCCTGGCTAGAGGTTCATCAGTCTTGTTTATCCTTTCAAAGAAACAGCTCTTGGTTTTATTTATTTAATAAATCTTTATTTTTTAGATTATTAGTTGTTCCTTTTCCCCCTCAAGCTCCCCTCAC